TGAACAAATATTTTAGCCGCTTTTCATTGAATGTAAATTTTGTTACATCTTTACAGCCGATTCCATACAAAAAGCTACGCTCTGCTTTCTTCAGTGTGAACGCCGTCTTGCTTCGCTCGGTGCCGCTCGGCTTTCTGTATGAACGTACCCTAAAAAATCGAATTAAAAGTGAAACGAAGAAAAAACGCCATAAAATTTGCTGATGCCAGTAACTAGCAAAACAAATATTTTTTCGAAGTTAAATTTTGAGAATGTCGTTCCATGCTCACAAACTATAAATTGAAAAACAAATTTTAGTGATCGGGTTCTATTTTCCAACCAGGTTTAAATATTTTAGTAACTTAAACCTGTAGGCTTTGCTTCACATAAATTTAATATGGATCATTCAAGCATCCATTTTTCTATTATCTAACACCCATTAGCACAAAAAAAGAGTCGAGGCTAAACTATTATAAATAATAAATCCGATAGTGTGTAGCTTCCCAGCACGTACATATATGTAAGTATTTTGATGAGAATCATAAAATCGGCAAAACTTTATGAATAACAAAAAGAAGCAACAAATTGTTTCGTGTGGATCCTAACTTTCATGTTTTCATACAACATGCAAAGATATTTTTCCACTTTACTCGCACGTGATAAGTTTTGTCCCCTGTGTGCATTTTATTATCATAAAAGCTTCTCTTTGCTCTGAGCACTAATAAACTATTAAAGAATTTTACACAGCAAATATTTCACCTGATATTGAAAGCACAGCAAATGCCCAACAACCTGATATTTATCTACATATACTACTTATAATGTAAAGTAACCCCAAAGCGGTCATAAACTTTGGTTTGATTACCTGTGAGTTGCCACAATTATGTAGTCAACGAAATCTAAATATTTAGGTACATACATACATACCTATACTCGTAGGAACATGAATATATTTAAAATATTAAGGTTTTGTGTTGGTGCAAAAATGATTTTAATTTGTAGTTGAAGAGAAGACGATTCCGAAGGCAAAGGGAATGGCCAAAAGATATTTTATTGCATCCGGTTTAGGCACCCCATGTGTTTGGGTGTTTGCACCAAGTTTTTGCTGGGTAGCACCCATTCATCCGTTTGGAAGCGATCTAATGTGGAGAAAAGCAAATCCCCAACAATGGCTTGCGTGCTGGACTTGGGACCCGTCACGTCCACTAGCCTCATGAGCTACTGAAATTTATTTCACCTCATAGTTGTCAAAAATTTTCTCGCCGCGAACTTTGTTACCGATTCACACGCTCAAAATAATAGGTTTTGAGATATGTATTCAAGAAATAAACTTACAAAATGCCGGAAATCGTAAAATTTAGAATTTTGCTTAACTTTCGAAAATAAAATTAATTTATTTCGTTTGGCATCGTTATATGATAAAAGAAAATTTCTGACCCAAATTTATCCGAACCAAAAATGGTTCAAATAATTGGGCGATTTGACTTGACCCACATGTAAATCACTGTTCCATATCTAGACCAATCTAATGTCTAATGGCATGCCATGTCTTTTACCCGAGTTTCAAATCAATGCTCGAGTGATGAATTGTAACATAATTATATTTTTTCCATACATTCTTTTTTTTGATATTTTCATGAACTTAATAAATACTATAGTTCTCATTTCCCTAAACGATATACACACATATACATATAAACATGCCCATTTAAGTACACTTGCATAAATTTCTTTAATATTCCAATTTCGATTGCTTTAGCTACGCAGGAGTATCAGCGAAATAGAATTCCGAAATTCTGCAAACTGACGAACAGTGGTTCGAATCGCAAATCTAGCTGGACGAAACTATTTAAACAAATACTCGTTGATGGATCTTTACACCACTTCTTACCTAGGGGATTTTTGAGTCGCTGATTACGAATCTGAAGTCACTTATCAAAAATTCAAAATGGCGGATCCAATATGGCGGACGAAAATTTAAAAAAATCGGTAGATTTCTATGAAACTGGGTATCTGGGGGTTTTCTGGGTCGCTGATTACATATCTAAAGTCATTTACCAAAAATTCAAAATGGCGGATCCAATATGGCGGACGAAAATTTAAAAAAATCGGTAGATTTCTATGTAACTGGGTATCTGGGGATTTTCTGGGTTGCTGATTACGAATCTAAAGTCATTTACTTAATTTACTTTATTTACTTCGGAACGAGCATTTTTATCAGATATTTCTTTCAATTTACTAATCACATAATCACGGACACCTTGTTGTCTTTTAGAAGTTTGAGCAACACCAAATGTCAAACAACTCACTTCTTAAGATTTTATTTACCATGACTAAAATTTAAGATCACAGCAAGAAACACAAATAAATTTCAGAAAAAATTTTATAACAGCGCTTAAAGATTTGCATGCCTGTTGTATAATTTTTTAATTTCAGAAAGCAGAAAATTCGCGAGGTACTATTTTTTTAACTCTTACATAACCAAAGTTTTTATATCTCCAAGTATTTTTCTGTTTTACCACACAACAAGTACCAAGTACCATTAAGTATTTTAAAAACAAAAAAATTTTGACTTTCGTCCACCTAGATCTGCTATCCGAACCACTGTGTGACGTGTCGCCATCACACAAGCTTTGAAATTGTTTGCTCACATTTTGTTCTGTCTCGTTCTGCATTCACTATGCATTTGGCAACTTTTATTTGCATTTCCCTATTCTATTTTGCAATTCGTCGCTATTTTCATGAAATGCCGCCGCCACTATTTCCATTGCCGCCACAAATCCCAGTCGAACATCAATTTTACTACTTCCGAACAGAGCATTTGACTCGCTGAATTTGTGAGCTTTTCACCAAGCCAGAGCAGGTTGGGCATGACACTGTGCTTCCTCACCATCAAACTCGAATCGTATTATCTCAATGCCAACGTTCTTCTTCATCGCTTACGCGCCACTCAGCTAGCTTTGTGCATTGCTCGCAGCATTTTGTTTGGGAATTCAAAAGAAGCTTACCAATACATGCTGTGCGTGACTATCTATCCGTTCACGACCTCACACATGCTGGTGGTGGTGGTGGTGGTGGGCGGTTGCGCTGGTACGACCGAAATTTCAGAACTCTTTAAAGGTGTTGGCATTCAATGGCATGCAATCGCATGAATGTACATTCTATAATACTATATACATATATATACACATACATATGCTTCTTTTTATTGTCATATATAGATAAGTTTATACTGTATTACGTTCTCTATGCTTAGTTTGTTGTTTGTTTTTTTCTCAAGCCGTTTATTCCGTATTTTTTTTTCCTAAACCCTGCTTATTGCCATTCTATTTCTTTGATACGTTTTTGTGCTAACATATGCGTGTATATGTATGTACATATATGCGTCTATATCAACAACATTTTACTAAATTCATGTCATGTTTTTTTCCGACTTTCAGCTTCCTTTCATGCTTCTCTTTATATTCTGTTGTTATTTTTAGATGCTTACTAAATATATATCAATCGAAACCTATTCAACACAAATCACAAGAGGCCATCAATCAAATTGCGACAAGCGCGTATGTAAATGCCAAAAGCAATATCAGGACATGAACTTTTGACAAAGGCGTATCAACAGTGATACGTGGTTCATGGCTATAATATGCGCTTCTCTCATTTATTGCATTGGATCGATAGTTGGGAATGTGTATGTGAACAAGAAATGTTTCTTTGCATTCGATCCTTGCATTTTTTATAGGGTGTTTACTAGGGTACACCAAAATAGGTAAAGGCGGAATTTTAATATCGAAAATTCTATATCGAAAAAATATACCCCTATTATTTATTTTGAAGTAAAAAAATATTTTGAGGTCGCTCAAGGCGCTCAAAGCCTTCCATGTATTTTATATGGGAAAAACAACTTTTCGTAGAAATGGTATAGAATAAATCAATATTTTTCGATCGGAAAACTCTGGTTCTCTTCAGGAGACTTCCAATAACAATACCCAATTGTTTATTTAACCATTTTTTAATACTCAAAATTATTTATTTATCCCCCATTGCATTTTTTGAGGGTTTTTGGCGGACCTTTAAAATATAGTTACTATGAAAAATTGATAAAACATAGAATTGGGCGTTGTTACCGGGAATCTGTCGAAGAGAAACAGTTTTTCGATTGAAAAATATTGATTTTCAAGAAATCTATATCATTTCTACGAAAGGTTGTTTTTTCCCCATATAATATACATGGCAAACTTTGAGCGCTTTGAGCGACCCGTAAACATTTTTTTGATTTTAAAATAGGAAATAGGGGTATAGAGCAATCCTAGCGGGTGAGAGTTTCACATTTTCGACGTTTCTTTTTCGCATGCAATTTTGGACCACCCTAATGCACATAAATATGTACATGTGGGGTTGATACCTGTTAACAAGTCAAATTTTACTTGAATTAAGTGAAATAGATTATTGAAGTATTTAAAACATGTGGAGGTCAGGCGAAAGATGTTTTGTTTTAAGTTTAAGTTTAGAAAAATGGGCGTGCACATACCTTAGAAGTGAAATTTTTTATCAGCTATATAGCTTCAGAACCATAAGTTAGTTATATGGGGTTGGGTGTGGAGACATAAATAAGGCAGGCGCTTGTGATAAACTACATAAAAGGAGATAAGTGTTACCAAAGTGGGCGTGGCAGCTCCCATAGACATGGTACATTCATAGAATTAGGAATCATAAGTCACATGACTCTGAAATTTTATGCGAAGACATAACTTGGTAGGTGCTGAAATAAAATATATATGGCGTGAAATTTTTAATCAGCTATAAAATATAACCTATTGTATGTATCACCCTTTATTTTTCAATTATACAAGAAATAACCTTAACAATTCAACAGTTCTTTAAGTATTCATAAGAATATATTAGTAAACATATGTATGTATTCATAATAAAATAAATTGTACCTTAATCAATAAGTCAATCAAATTCGTGGTGTGCAATATTTAATTAATCTTATCACATTTTGTTCCCTCTTTCCATTGCAGCGGTTGGTTGGGAAGTGCCAAAGGCTGGTTAGGCAGTGCCAGCGCCTCAATTCCATCGATGCCGGCAATGCCTACCATGTCTATGCCATCAATGCCAGCTATGCCAGCCATGCCGTCGATGCCCTCCATTCCGGGGCTGCGCAAGGGTGGCGCCGAAGCTGGTGAGGGTGTCGCCGCCGATGGCGCTGTTCTCGAGAGCGGAGATGCTACAGGTGCCGTGAGTGGTGAAGATGATGACAAATCGAGGTACATTAGGTATGGGCCAAGCAGCTAATGACGGGACAATGCTATTTTATGAGTTACAGCAGGGATAAGTTCCATATGAAATCGAACCAAAAAAAAAAAAACTTGCAAACAAAAAAAATAAAATTATTAAATATTGGATATTGCAAAATTGCATACGCATGCCAAACAAGCGTGTAAATTTTGCGATATCTATGGAATAACGGATGTTAGTTTTATAGTTTTTAAAATTTTTTCTAGTTTAGTTGAATTTAGTTTAGTTCAAATTCTAAGTATTTCAAACAAATTTTTAAAAACACAGCAATTTCTAATAGTTTGATACAAATCGTTCGAAGAAAAGTTCTTTTCAATTTCGTTCTGCTCAGTTGATTAAAAAAATCACTTTTGTTCAGTTTGTTACTGTGCAGTTGAATTGATTTACTATAACCGTAAACGCACAACTGATCATTTAATAATTACAGTTATATATTTACAGCCTACTAAATACATTTATCAACTATATAAATATATAACCATATAATACATAAGTACATACATAATATTGGCCAAAGTTACATACATAGTTATACTACTACATATAACGAAGCATTTTTACATTTGCTTATGCTTTTGTTCGTCGCGTTCTCTTACACAACTACATATTCTCACTCAAATATAAGCATCCGTTTATGCAACTTCTCAAAATTCCAATCACAATTTCTGATGAATAAAAATATTTGAAATTCTTCAATACTCAATATACAAATATATAGCGTGTGTGTATATGATAACGTAATATCCATAAATATATCACTTTTTATTTGGTTTCTTGTAATCTTGTAATTGCAATTTCAAATTTTCAAACTTTTGCCTACACTACTTTTCTAAATTTTCAATATTACTCTTACTACTCTTTTTCTTTGTATATTTCTCCTTTTTCTAACTCTCACAATTTTCGTAAAAGCTTTGATACTTTGCTATTTTTATTATCCAGTATACTCCCTTACTTATACTGTACTTTTGCTCTTTCAATTCTATGCTAATTGCTTACGTCACTGGTATTTATAATTTCTGATTTTTAGTTTCCTGGAAATTTTTGTCCTTTTAATTTTTCTGTCTGTTTTCATATCTCGTACATATACATGTGTTTTATAAACATACTTATATAAACAAAAAATATTTTAGTCAATAGTGGACAAATTATAAAAATGTTTCTATATTAGCACAACTGCATTAGGATGCCCCGCCAAAAAAAAGTTGCAGCTTTTCCACTGGAATTATACAATTTATTATATTCTAAGACTTTCACCAAATATTTCGGAAAATTATTGAGATTTAGGTGAGCTGCGGCGATTTTAAAATACCTCCAAATATCGAGTTTTTTGTAACTAAAATTAGTTTTTGAAAATTTTCCCAAAAAAATCATATGAGATGATAGAAGAGTTTATTTAAGCTTAAAAGTTTAGCATGAAAATGTTAAAAAAAGTTTCACCACGGAGTAAAAATAATTAGATTTTCTATGATATTTTTACATCGGTCCAGCGCATGTAAATCTTAATATTTTCCCAAAATATTTTGACGGAAGTCTTAAAATACATACATACATATAATAAGATAGGAAAAACAGCACCGAAATTTTTTGCATAGAGAGTGATGCACCCGAATGTACATACAATTGTGGTCAGCTGATTAAGTTTAGTGACTTTTTGACCAGTTTTGGTTATTCTTCTTCTGGTTATATGTACCTTACATATCGTACACGATCTTCAAAAGTGTTAACCAAACATTAAGAAACCGGCCCTAAATATTTTTCACTTTATGGCCAAGACCAAGCTTGTCGTTTTTACGACATAACCTTTTATACCGTGCTACGTGCTTCAGAACCGTTTTTCGGAAAAAAATTAAAAATTATGTGTCCCATATAATTCAACGTAGATTATGACCTCAAAGTTTGAAATAGATCGAAGACATTGATTTTTTTTTGCTCGTTGAATTCATATGGAATGGAAATTTTTTTTTAAGGAAGATTTTGAGTATGCAATTTTATAGGCCATTCAATATAAGTATAATAGTTTGCAAGTATAAAGTGGCCCAAAATTCTGGTTGATTTTTTATTTTTTTTTTGCTAACGTTAGTTTGGAATTTTTATGAAAACTTGATAAAGTTTTTTTTTTAAACTTTGATTTACATTCATATATAGTTTTTGTTATAGTATAAACTATAATTAAGAACAAGTAATTTTTGAGCAAAAAAAACCGACTTCAATTCTCATAGAAAAATTTAAGAGTACCGTTAATTTCTCTATGATCCAAAGATCGGATCTAAATTATTATGGGACTACCTCTGAGGTACTACCATTCTTTTAAAAAGTTGAAGAATTACAGAAATCGGTTGAAGTGATTCAAAGTTATGCGATAACATACATAAAAACAAGTAATTTTTAGCAAAAAAAAAACCGACTTAAAAAAAATATATATATATCTATATATTTCATGATCCAATGATCGGATCTAAACCAAATTAGTAAGGGGCCACCTCTGAGACACTACCTTTTCGTTGCAAAAATCGGTTGATGTGGTGCACAGTTATGCGGTAACATACATAAAAAATAAAAAATAAAAAATATTCCGACGAACTGATAACCTCCTCCTTTTTTGGAAGTCGGTTAAAAATCATTTTTTTTTTTTTAATTTTAAAAAATTCTACCTACATAATTAAAAAATGATCAACTGGTGGTAAGCCCGATGAGGAATGTCATCGCCACCAGGACAGCGCATCTAGTATGCTATAATTTTTGGGAGGTAAGTTATGCCCGACCGGCAGTTTATAAAGTTTTATTAATATATATTGTCAGCAAATCGCCTCCAAAAAAGTAGTACAAAGTAGGTAAATTTCATTTCTCAGTAGATAAGACAATTCGCTACGTTAATCTAGGAACTTTTTAAGCTTCGCTATATTTTAGATTCTAAAATATATTGACATTTTAAAAATTTCTACACGCCATAATATTCTCCTTTCGATTTGTATTCGAAAAGGTACGAATTTGTATTCGCTGGCCCCTGAGTAGAACGTGCGACAAAAACAAAAAAATTCAAAACACAAGAGAATCGATATACTCACGAAACTATGGGCCAAAGATATTAAAACTGCGTTTTTAGTTTTTCACTCTGACGTCAGGATTTTTTTGAAAGGACTTTGAAATTTTAAACATATGATTAACTCAGAAAATTATTTAAAAAAAATCAGTGCAATATAGAATAACAATATGCGTACAAAATGAGAGAGAAAATTGTGTAGAATTTAGAAACAAAGTTTTGAGTTTACAAGGACGAATAAGTATTGAAAATGCGCTTTTAATAAATTTTATCTTTTTAAATTAATAAAGTTTGCAAAACGAAATTCGATGATGACGTCGTGTGTATATTAGTCGTCAAACCATAATTTTTTCAAAAATAAATATTGCAAATTTTCAAATATATTTAAGGACCAAATTTGTAAAGGACATTTTCCATACCCATTCGTCCTTATGCACCTAAAAATTAAGACTATTATAATTCTACGGAATTTTTTCTTTTATATGATACTTTTATTGTTACACTACATTGCACTAAATTTTTTAAATAATTTTTTGAAATTTCAAAGTCCTTAAAAAAAACCTTACGTCAGAGAGAAAAACTAAGTACGCAGTTTTACTATAATTTACCCATAGTTTCGTGTGTTTGTGTGTAAAATTTAAGGTCGCACGGTGTTGTCAAACTATCAAATTTAAGTCCACTTGCACAATGATACTCGAATTAGAATCGACAAAATTAGCTCGATTTGTGAAAACCAGAACAGCTAGCCAAATCCAAGTCTTAAATGTTAATCGAAATCAAAAGCTGCTTCACTATATATCGATGGCTGAGTGGAAGATCGACCTATCTCGGCAGCCAGTTCGAAAACGCTCTATCTCAAAAAACTTTTCAAGAACGCCCTATTTCAGAATTTAATTGAAAAACACCCTATCTCAAACTTCGGTTCAAAAACGCCCTAACTCACTTCAAAATGTATTGAAAATATGCTGATATAGGGCGTTTTTGAATCGGCAGCTGAGATAGGGCGTTTTTGAAACGATTTCTGAAATAGGGCGTTCTTGAAAAGTTTTTTGAGATAGAATGTTTTCGAACTGGCTGCCGAGATAGGTCGATCTTCCACTCAGCCATCGATATGATATACTTCTACAAAATTTAAATCACTATAAAATTTTCAGACACATTTAAAATTACTTTGAAAGCTAAAAAAAAATACAGAAATGTATCCTCATCACGAAAACGTTCACATTTAGAAATAATAAAGTTGCAAATTCCATAAGAGTTTGAACCAACAATTTTTTTTTATTATTTTCAAAAACGGACAAAAATTTCCACTTCCAATCACTTCATTAACTCTCATACGATTCATTGCAGCGCATCCTAAATAAGTCTCATTTTTTATTTAATCACTTTACATTTCATTTGTACATATACTAGGTATGTCCATATATGTACTTTATTCAAGAATTTATTTCTGGCCAACTTATTTTGTATGACATTTATCACCATTATGTATATAAACATATTAGTTTATTCCAATTTTAGTTATTTATTCTTATACTCCCAAAATGAAAACGCAAAGCAGCTACATACATTTAAAGCCTTCAGCTCGAAAGTCCCCGTTTATAGTGAAACCATGCAGCGCAACCATAAAATATCAGATTCCATCATTATTGTGCGGCCCATCAAAAATACGAACCAAAACGGATATGCTAACAAATCATAAAGCAAAACTACTAGTAATCGCTCGAATATCATTTTTTATAAAAAAAAAAACTCTACTAAACGTACATTGAACCCCAAAAAAAAAAAAAAAAATTAAATCGATGTGAACCGCAACATTATTGTCATTATGTCTTTTTGTTGTCTAGTGCGAATTGTAGTGAACAAATAGTGCGATTTTTTGTGCTCATGAATTGTAAGTGTCTTCTGGGTAATGACCACTACTTTTCCCTTCTTCTGTTACTTTTCAGTTTTTTTTTTTTATTTTTTTGGACGTAGACAACTCTTGCTTTTCTATACTTTATACTTTGCGCTTCTTCGATTCTATTTTTTTTGCTTTCGTATTTATTACTTCGTATTCTTTTTTCCATATTTTTTCAAATTAATTTACATTTATCCAATTAATTTAATAATTTAGCTTCTGCTCCATTCCTTACTAAGCTAAAGTTTTTCGAACGCGAAACTTGAAAAGAGTCGCGTGCTTTTACTTTACTTTTTTACTAAACTTCTTGTGACATTCTTTTTTCCCCACATATCCTCATATACCATCAACTCTCATTCGCCTCTCGCTTTCTGATAGCTCCAATATCTGTCCTCAATGTAAGCTTTGTAAATTTCGGCGATTCTTTGCTCCGCGGTTTAATCTGGATGTACATACATACATACACATGTACCTCTATTTTTTAGCATCATTCAACTCATGTCAGCTCATTAGTTTTCTCATGAATTCATTACTTTTCCCAATTATGTAATTTTTAGATTTTCCATTGAACGACTTTTGAAAAATGTTAATGGTAGCTGGTTTAGAGAGCACGTATTTTATATGGTAAAATTTTATTAAATAAATATTTGTACATAAGTATTTTATGTCAATAGTGAAAAAAAATCTCATCCAAACCATACTCAAAGTAACGTTGTAATCAAATGCTAATGGAATTTCGCTCCATATCATCAAAATTCTTTTTTTTTTACAGTGGGGCGAAGTTTCCACTTTTTGGTAAAAAAATTTAAACTTTTTAAATGTGACATTTATATATGTGTAATTATTTTCTTAGGAGACCTAAATGATGTCCGATAAAATAGAGCGTGTTGACGAATTGAAAAAAAAAAATCTTTTTGACTTTAATTATTTTTTTATAAAAATATAGTTCATTTTATAATATAAACCATTTAAATAAACGTTTCAAACTTTGTATATAATTAAAAAAAAACTCGCCAAATTTCAAACATTTGTGTCGGAATACAAAGTATGTTCTAAAATTTTTTATATGAAAGAAAATGCTCAACCCCGTCAGCAAAAAAAATTAACGGATTTTTTTCGAAAATTCACACTTGCACTGGAATTCAATGGGCAATTAAACTGCATATCAAACAAGTTCCGACAAAAAAGTTTGAAATTTGACCGAAAATTTGGCGATTTTTTTTTAATTCTGTAACTTATATTTAAATGGTTTATATTTTGGAATTAACTATGTTTTTGTAAGAAAACTATTTAAGTTACATATATAGACAAAACAATAACTGTACAAACTCGTCAAATCGTCGTGGCTCTATTTAATCGGACATCACTGAACTACTCTGCCAACCTTTAGTTCATACATATACACACAAGGTAGTACATATAATTTAGAAGAAATTTTTCTCATAGAAAACTTAACCCACCAATTTTCACCAGAACCGGTCCTTTTTCATTCGGTTTTCCAAAAGTTACCGGACTAATGTGTTCTACAAAATATTTAGCATAAAATTTTATTAAAAGTCGCCGAAACTTTAATCCTTGTTATAAAAACAAGATTGATGAGATGGAGCACCACACCCTTGAGGTTTCTTGCGACTAGCCTCAAATTACCTTTTTTTTCTAATTCTACTAATTTCCATTCAAGAGATTGCTCTTTGAATATTTAAACATGATCACTACAAATTACTTATTTTAAGTATTTAGGCTGGCATCCCTTACAATAAAGTCGAAGCTGATTAAGGAGTGTAGAACTCATTTAAATAAAGTTAGTAGTCAGTTCAAAGTGAGTTTATTTAGTTTGGGTCCATGGCAACATTTTCAGTGACAGAGAATATGCTCCGAAATTTCATCATCCTCGAGGCGGAGGCGGCATTCCGACTCTATGATCACACCTATTCGGTGCAAGTAGAATCTCAATTGGTTGTGACCGTTCAGATACCCAGAAAGTAGCCTGATGACATTTCTATTTACTAAACCAATGTCGTTTTTGTGTTGAAAGGGTAGCCGAAGAGCGTGTCAAGACAGTCTCTAACCAGCTTGGATTTCATAGTCCTGTTTGAAAGGGCCCGGATGGCTGCTTGGCTATCTGAAAAGATAAGTAGAAAGGCGCCCTTCTAACCCTTTTCAAGGTTTAAGTTTGCGCAGTTTAAAACTGCGACTATTTCAGCCTGAAACACCGTGGGCCATTTGCCCATGGGAATTGCAAGTTTGGTGCTAGGTCTAAAAATACCTGCGCCTGCTCTGTCCTCCATCATTGAACCGTCTGAGTACCAATGTACGTATCTGAGATCAAGTGCAGGGAGCCCGCTAGCAAAATATTCGGGGGATCGGGGATTATCACTTGGAACTTTCTGCCAAAGCAGACCTCTTTAGTCATGGAATCAGAGATTCCGCATATTTCCAACCCTGGTATCTTCCCAAGAATACCTGCATGAAGCTTCTTTGCGAAGAAGCCATCGTTAGATAATCCTAGTTGAAGCTCCCTCGGCGTTGCTGTTTCCTGGATAAAAATATGGAGGGAGTCCATCCCACGAGCGACTCTAGAGCGCAGTTGAACATGTTCTTATAGATCCAGTGACAAGCCAATCTTTGCAGCTTGTTAAGGCGAAGTAAGGCAGATTTTTGTAATGTCTTCTGCCGCCATGCTGTGGATGCATAAGACACAATCGAAGGGACGATCATACGGTAGGGCCACCCTTTCAGCCTCGAGCTCAATCCCCATGTTCTACCAAAAAGTCTTCTGTAGGCCCACATGGCCCGTATGGCTTTAGATATCGTTCTCTCAAGATGGGAGAGCCAAATAAGTGTCTTATCTAGCATAATCCCCAGATAAAGTCATTATTTTTTTTTTTTTGGAATTTGCAATAAGATTTTCTTAATTGAGGGGTTAATATTTTTGATCTGTTTCCCTACTGTATGCTTAAGATTAGCATAAAAGAATATTTGAAAAACTTTTTTTTGGAAGGAATCCGGTAGTCTTAAAAGTGTTTTTTTTTTTTTTTGAAGGACATTATTTTTACCCTTTTTTTATGGTCAAAAAGTAATTTTGACTCAGTTGCGATATTTTTCTTGACAGGGGAATTAATTTAGCTTTCAAACAAAAAAGTTTGCTCTGTCGAAAGCGCTACGATTAATTCTCATAGAGTTTTCAAAAGTCACACTGAGCGTCGTGCAACGTACGAAAATTGCTGCCAGTTATTGGAAACGGTTAGAAAAAAATCATAGGCTGCAAACTTGACATTTCATTCTACTCTTCACCTCGAAACACCAAAACACACTCCTTAATTTTCAAAGAACCACGAGCGATAATCGATGGGCACGTGGGAAATTTAAACATTTCTATTAATTAGTATTCTCTGTTCCAATAAAACACGAAGCTTTCCGAAAACTTTTCAATAATAAATGGAACTTCTTATAGCCTTATGTAGCCTTATAGCTCTTCTTATAATTAAAATTTAAATTCAAGAGTTATTTTTGTTACTTCATTTCATTGTATATTTCATTTCCCATTGTTTAGTGTATAGAGCCGTAGGCGCGAAAAAAACGCAAGTTTAATTTTTTCAAAATTCTCATTTTTTAAGCAAAAAAAAATCGACAAATTCACTGACGTTATTTTTGCGGTTTAGGGCTCGTTATGTAAATATGTCTTTAATAGTTTCTTAAATTTACCATATACAAATTTGAAATTTGAATTTTGCATGCATGCTTTATTTATATGATTGTTCTTGTTTTTTTTTGTGTATAAAAATGTTTTGTATTTGAATGTAATATTTTAAAGTTTTTGCACTCTTTTCTTTCCAATATAACCCACAAATATTAATTACCAAGAACTGAACTAATATAACTTTAATATTGCTTACCATTTCATTACAGCGCTACAGAGGGTGCCGATTCGCATCCCGCTTCCGGCGGTGGCACCCCCACTGGCGATGAGGGTCAAATCGGACAGGGTAAGGGCGAAGAAGCGAACAGTACGTGTCACAGTACAAAATTTTATTCAAAATTGGTAACAAAATTAATGTCAAACAAAAAATGTGCTCAATGTGCTTAACAAATTTTATTTCAATGTCAAATTAAAATAACAAATTTTTCCAAAAAAAAAATAGTAATTAATACTATTAACACACAAAGAATGGAAGAAATGGTGACAGGTTACTAATAATACGCTCGCTTGTGTACTATTTTTTTTTTTTAAGTCTGGTGCATGTCACAGATGTATGTATGTAAACTCATTAGTTGTTATTGTTTACTGTAGTGACGAGAGCTTCGTACATTTATTATAGCAAACTCACTTAAATAGTTTAGCTAATTCTATGTTTCCACTTTTATCTATGTACATAAAAAAATTCAGTTACCACAAAAGTAACGCAACAGGCAAAGCATTTTGGTTCATTCTTGTCGTCGGCAATAAATAAGGCGGGCGCCAAAATCAAGGAGACTGTCAAGGAGAATGTAAGTGGTTATATGGTGTACACATATACATACATACATTAAGCATTAGTTTTAAAAATATATACATACATAGGTGCAGGGTGATCGATTTTCTCCTTGAAAAATTATATCTGAAAAAAAAACACACTGAATGTTACATGCATTGCCAAAAATTATCGCGATCTTTTAGCAACTTGCAAATTGCGTAAAACTGCATATGCAAAATTTTTTAGAAAATCTTTAAAAAAAGTATAAAAAAATTATAATTTGACAAATTTTTCGAAACGGTTTAACACGGTTCAATGTGATCATGTTACGCAACTTTTCCGCACTATTAGAATTTCGAAATCGAAAATTTTATTTTTTTTCGCTCCACCCTAATGTAACCCAACGACTCACTTCTTGCAGTTGGAATGGTTTCTCGGCGGTCTCTTGAGGTTGCTCACTACCCTAAATTCGACAATTTCGCTTATTAAAATAGCCACGGAGGGGAAAATGGGTCGCTTCACTGAAAGAACTTATTGGAGATGTGCAAAAATTTTGCCATTGGGGATTCACCATTTTGATAGAATAACTTAATAATTTGAAAACATTCAGTATTGTGAAATAACAAACCTTTAACCAATTAAATACCAGCTTGAATGACAGTGACATTTGCCAAATGTTAAATGATAGGGCTTTACTTCAAAAACAGAGCACACCCCTGCCCTACCTGGCTACGCCCATGGTTGTATTTTGTAGACTTTTGTCGAGCTTACATTTGTATGTATGTGCGACAGACCGCCGAAAAAGTACTTATTGCGACATCGCCGCCTAAGTTTAGCCAGATCCAGACCCATACCGAAACAAAGGAAGTGTTGCTGCGTTAGTAGTCATTTTCCAGAAATCACTTTCCACTGGCATGCTCTCCCATAACATAGTGGCCCATAATGATGCCTATTACCAGGCAGAGTTGGAGACGTTCTATAAGATCTTCAGTTTACTTGTTATCAAGCCTCTGCCAGATTTAGCATTTTACCCCAGAGACATAGGTTCTGCAGCCCTCCTTTTATTTTCCAAAACAAAGAAATTTGTCTTTAGTTGAAGCGTGGACTATGCTTCCTGTCCTTGCAAGTTCATCAGATTCGCAGTTACGCAGAATATCTTTAGGACCCCGCACCCAAACTAACTTCGCTGTGTATCAGGACACAGACCATCTCGAAAGCTGAAGTTATGTAGCTAGTTAGTTAATTAAGTGCTTGGATATAGCAGAATATGAGACACTGCGACCTGGTAGATCTTTTGTATCTCGAAAGTGAGTCCCTAACCTAATATTCCCAAGTGGCCTTCGGCTTCCTTAATGATTCCAAAAGGCATTGGCCGTCTATTCAGTACTACTGTCATTAAATTCTTTATTACAAAGGGTTTGAATATTGCAGCTCTAATATGAATTTGTCGTTACCTGGCCATGTGCATACAGTCACGGAAATTGTGCTCTGAACTCTCAACATCACCCAGATGGAGCCGGCATTTTCACTCTGCGATCACACATATTTGGCGCATGTAAAATCGCACTCGATTGTGACCAGTTAGTTACACAGAGGGGAGTCTACCCTCTCAGTAATAATGGCTGTCGAAGCGTAGGTACCAACTAGGGCCAGAAAAGGGTTCTATTTCCAAAAAGGCATTTACAAGATCCATTTCGTGTCAAGTCTCCACAGTTACCTAGTTCCTAGCATAGTGCTGCCAAGCCAAAATTTTAAGCGTGTCGAATAAGTCTTTACCTGTCTGGGCCGGATGGATGCTTGGCTATCTGAATGAAAAGCTAAGTAGAATGCGCCTTTTCAACCCTTTTCAATGTTTAATTTGCACAGATTAATATTGCCAATACTTCATCATTATTTTAACAATTCGTAGCTCAATGAGACAGTTCTTTCCTTTAGTCTAACTGCAACCCACTTTCTTAGATATTTTAAAACATCAAATTTATTGCTCACCAAAAATAATTTCGCAAACTGCAACTCCTTTCGTCCACACAGCCCATACTCGAGTCCTTCAACAAAGAACAGGAAGCCTTTATGAAAAGTCAAGGCGGTCAAGATTCCGGTGCTGCAGCTTGGATCGGACACCCCAACGAGGCTAAGATCAAAGAGGAAATACTCGGCCTCTCACAGGATCGTCGTAATTTTGTGCGCGCACCACCAGCCGGTGTTGATTTCGAATTCAACTATGATACAGCGTATCCCACAGCTATTGCCATAATGGCCGAAGATAAGGCGCTGGAAACGATGCGATTTGAATTAGTGCCCAAAATGTGAGTATAGCTCAAAAACAGAGCTCCTCCTAACCGTAAATTTTATAGTACTATTCTTCTTTTATTAATTTGCATATTTTTCCCGCACTGAACAGCATCACCGAAGAGAATTTCTGGCGGAATTATTTCTATCGCGTTTCACTAATTATTCAGGCAGCCGAATTAGGTACACTTGGCGCTGATGGCGTTGGTCAGGCCTCGAGCGGCGAAGACGGTAAGTTTTGTGTTGGCTGTGTGGTTAGCACAAATGATGTGAAACGAAATGTATACAAATATATACAATATTGCAAGTATGCTCTACCGCCTACTCTCTAATACTGTCATTAAATCTGCCACCACTATTATTACTACTTCTATTACTACTACTACTCCGCTGCTATGTATTACACTTTCTTGTTTTTTTTTTAGTATTTCTTACACATTTTTAAGCTTTTATCAATGAGAATTAGAAATATTTTTTTTTTTTTTTATTTTAGAATATTCCTAATTTCAATTTATTTTGCCTAATTATGCGGCAGTTAAAGTTATGTTTTTTCTCACTTAACTGAAGTCATCACTTTGTAACTAGTGTCATTTTTTGTCCGCCCCACTGCCAAAACGCATACATTTTTATGTATAAAAATATGTGTGTTTTTCACATGTTTTGCTGAAATCAATACATTTAAATACGACTAAGTACTTTAAAATAAATATGTACATATATATTTTATATTTCTTTCACATGTTTCCTCTATGTACATAAATATTATGCAGTACATACATTACAAAAACACATGAAAATGGAAAATGCGGAATAGAAATTTTTTTTTTTTATAATTCACTACAAATTGCTATCAATCAATTTTAATTTAAATTGATACAAGTGTATTTTCATGCATATACATACATACATAGTATATACTACACACAAGCACACATCTAGGCTCTCACATACATTTTTCATACACATAATTATGTACATACAAACATGCGTACAGACATTTGGTTCATGCTCGGCGTATAGAATCAAACATCAGACAATAGACGAAAAGCATCAATCAAATCATAAAAGTCAATGATATTCCTGTATGCAGCAGTCAATCAATTTAAATGCAAAAAAGTAAAACATACATTCCATTTATCCCATGGGCCATTAAAGTGGCACTTTGAATCGCGCCAAAGGATGTTATTCATTAGCGTGGGCCGAAAATCTGCTTTTTTTAGAATTTTGATTGGTAATAGCAAAAATGCGCTAAAAAAATATCTTAGGCTCGCCCAAGTCCATCAAAGTTCAATGTGTTCAATGAGTGCAATTATCTTCGGAAGTATTAGTCCTACATTCGTATATGGACCTTTTTTTGCAGAGAATCGAAGTAAGCTAAGAAAAACTTGTTTTTGGCACCTGAACTTTGATGGACTTGGGCGAGCCTAAGATATTGACCAAAAGTTTTAATCTTGTACACAGATTTTTTAAGAGCATAATGAATGGTTCATTTTTGCCAATTCGAATTCTAAAAAGGCTGATTTTCGGCCCACGCTTTTATTCATCCTAGAGATATAAATCCAGATCCAACAAATTGTTTTCATATTATTTTTCCTCCTTTGATTTTTTTGCAAGTTATGTCATATTTGTTAAAGATTTTATTTTAATTTGAATATCCTTTAAACAATCTGGTCATATCGTGTTTTATCCAACATTCAACATAAAAAGTTTTTCTTAGTCGATAAAACTAATTGTTTCTTCGATAATTTTATTATGTTAACTATATTCTTTATTGTAGTAGGGAAACGCAACAAGGGATTTGGGGATTACTCAAGCGCGGCAAATTAAGTGCATACCCTGTACCCTGTTGCGTACCTCCACCATACCAAAGCCCTCTGAAATTTATTGAAGTCGAGACTTTGTGCAATTTAAAAAAAAAAATTAATAATAATCAGCAAACTTTCGCAAAAATGTCGAGGTCTTTAATTAGATTTCTTAGAAAGAAGAAAAAACACAGATGAACTGGTCTACTCTGGTTAAATTTTTTTTGCATTTGTTTTTTTTATTAACAATCGCTATTTTTTCATCTCTCAGGGCTCGTCCAAGTCGAAATTATATTTTTACTTAAAAACACTGTATAGAGGCTAAAATTACACAAAAAACGCCGAAACACGTACTTAATATGGATCTAGTAGAAAAAATTAGTTTAAAACAAGCTTTCTAAATATGAACGAAATCTGACCATAAATACTAGTTTACCAAATATCTCGACTCCTGCGCCACCTTTCATCAAAATTTGTATGGAGTTAGTCCTTTTCATGTATATTTCTGAATATGAACCAAATGGTATTACAAATACCGGGTTTTCAAATATCTCGACTCCTGCGCCACCTATCGGATTGATTGCATTGTCAACGGTTTCCGAGCCAACGGCGAAGTTTCAAGTCTATAGGTCATCGGGAAGTTGGTTAAAAATTGATATCAAGATTCAACCCTAACAAACATACACACATATATACTTAGTACCAGGTTGACCGAGCTTTGCCCGCAGGGCATATACTTTTTAAAGTTTTCAAGAATTGGATAGCTTAGGGATATTTAAAATGCCTTCCCTTCGATATCCATATTATGATGTTTTAATTAATTTGTAACTATGTAATTTCGAATACGAGTCTTCTCGGAGATAGTGCCCCCTCAGATAACCTTAAAATCCAAAATATTATCTGTGTACAAAATTTCATCAAACTCGTTAGAGCCGTTTCCGAGAACTGCTTGGTGTTTCGTTTCTACCAAAAAATTTCGCCTTTTGATTGACCCTTTTTGTTTTCGTTTTTGGTTATAAAATAAAGGCAAAGGGTGAAAAAATGTTGTGTTCGTTTCTTAAAATATCACATCATGCCATTGTACCAGAGAAGGGCAACATTTTTTTGGAAGAAACGAAATCGCCATAAGCCGGAGTGGAAATAGACTTGTTGATCTGTTTTTATGACTCCCGTTTTTTTTTTTTGCATTATCATAAGCATTACCTTAAATAAAAACCATTTAAAAAAAATTGCTGATGGCATTAAAAATTAACGTGTTTATCCATCCCTTTTGCTTCAACGACCAGATTATTAAGAAATAAATATAAAGTTTATTTATTCTGTAGTTTTCTTCATTTTATTATTAGTATTATTTATTTATGTTAAATTTCTTACTTTTGTTGCACTCCTTCCCTTTTTCGTTTCATGTACCTATATTATTTTTGCTGCCGATTTAAATTTAAATCTAATTCGGTGCTCACGAAAATTGCGAAATAAAAAATTGATAAATTAATATCGGTTAAACTGAAACTACCACTTTAACCAAAAAAAAAAAAACATAACAATAATGGAAACATAAAATTCACTTAACAACAAACTTACCTAAACGAATGGTCGAACAGCCCAAAACGCAGTAAGTGAAAAATCCCAAACGCAAGCTGCTGGTGCTGCTGTCATTGCTGTCAGTGAAGAGCAAACCATAGCAGCTAATAAAGGCGCCAAAGCGTCTGAGCACATATCGCCTATTTTCGAACAACCCACCGGTGCTGGTGTAAACAAACTTACTACCCAAAGCCCACGGCACAGTGAATCTGAATTCGTTTCGGATTCCTTCCAAGCGACTAATGAAAAAGATTTGGAGGAAATCAAAGATGGTATGCGTAAATTGGGTATTGACACTATGACAGATCAAGCGCTCGGCAGTGATGGTAAGAAAAAATTTTTTTGATTTTTATTTTTTTGTTTTTACCAATTAATTTGTTTGTTTAATTATGTATCTATTTAAATTTTTATATTTAAGTTTTGTATTTTTAAGTTCTCCTTATTTATGTTATCTTATACAACTTATAATTTGTATTGCCTTTCTAAGAGCAAAGCGCTCTGCATGCGTGAGCTTATGTTTGTTTCTGAATTTTAATATTTTGATGACTTTTTTTGTGTTACAATATGCTTGAGTTTTTTGCACTACTCTTACATCTTACGAGACTAAAAACAAATTCCCAAAGCAGTCCGAAAAAATATAGTTATAACCTTTTGATATGTGTATATGCAAATAAATACAGATCTTTTAGAGAAGTATTCAAATTTTTGAAAGGAAAGAAATTCCATACGTTGGAGACTTTTTTCAAAATTTGTTTTCAATTTATTTATTCCTTCCAAATAGTAGGTTTTGTCGTAGAAGCACAACAATTTAATTGAAATCTAATATTCTGTTTATTGTATTTTTTCAATCATCTGTATTTCGGGACCCACTTAAAAAAAACTACATAAATTCTACAAATTTTCATCAAATTTCGAACTTATTAATTATTTAAAACATTTTTGGGTATGCACTTTTTAACCCATACAATTTTAGTTTAATACTTTTTTTTTTGCCTGCCGACTTTTACATATTTTTCCATATAAGCAGACTTGCTTATGAAATAATAATCCGAGTTTTCGTGAATGTAACGAAAATACTATCACTTTACTATATGCTTTATACTTCGTAGCAATTCGGGTTCATAGCTTGATAAAGCTTGTGAATATTAAAAAAAAAAAAATTAACACGTGGTCACTTGTTTCAGTCACTGTATATGCAGCTTTGTACGAATTCCTCAACTTTTAAGTCCAAAAAATATTAATTTCGTCTTGTTCAAAAGCTTTCGTGTGCTGCACCCTAACTTTGTTGTTTTAAAACACTTTAAGAACATCTACTATTAGGAAGACAAATAGCAGAATTTTAAATTTTTATTTTTCAATTCAATACAAGAATGAATATAAATTCTCTTCAATTCAAATAAGTGCCCAGCAGTTTAACTTTACTAAGCAGTGTTTCAATTCAATCTCTTATAAAATTACATACATCTGTGAAACTTAGCCCATCATAAGCTGGCGAATGCAGATCATTCGGTTTCTCCATATTTTTTTACATTAGCAGATCTCATCATTTCCTACAACAAAGTTAGACTACATGAAATAATTTGCACAAAATCCAATTTTGTAAATCTTTCATTCAAATCGCAAACGAAAAAAAAAAATCATTTTTAAATCGCTGCAGTAACTCATTTACATAAAAATGGTTCTAGTCAATTTTTAGTTCCATTTTACAAAAAAATTACACGACTACAAGTACATTATTACATTCATTGACGTTTCGAATTTCAAAAAAAAAAACGCAAATTCGAACTCTTTCTTTCTTAGCTAAATCATAAAACACTAGTGCATTCGCAAATCGCACTTGTTCGTGCAAACTTTGTTTTCGTACTTCTTATTCACCGCTTTCTTCTCAGACATTACTCCGAAAGCAGTTTGCTTTACATGCATTTTAGCAAATTTGTGCCCTACCACATATCTACATATTTTTTGCACTTTCTTCCAATGAATTTTATCACTTAACTGTATTCATCTCATTGCTGATTTGCGCTTAGTAAAACCGAACAAACAAACAAAAAAAAAATTACCTAAAAAATTTGCAAATTTGCCATTCAATCAAACAAACAAAAACGAAACAACGTGTAAATTGTGTTTCTTTCTTTCTTTCTCATTTTTTCTCTCTCTCCTTCTTTTTTATCTTAACTTATATTGGTTACGTTCACTACGCCAACAGCAATGACTTTTAATTATTAAAATGAATGAATTAAGTCACGAAAGATGTTAATAACAAAACCCCAAAAACTAAACTGCATATAACAAAACCAGAAATAATTTAAAAACAAAAAATGTATATCAATTATCAAAATGCAACGTGAAATATCTACTTTAAAGAAAAATAAAATAAAAATAGACGTTAAATGAGTACTTAACTAGCGAGCATCAGTAAAGATTCTAAATTGACCAAACGCAAATATCACTAGAAAGAATCAAAAGAAATACGAAATTACTAACGTGATAATGGATGCAATCACACATACCCACACGTAAAAATACCGGCATATTTTGAGTGCGATCCGCGTAGTTATTAAATGGAAGAATTCTTTACGTACACCAAATTAGCCCACAGATACTTCTAGTTAAATATGTACATACATACTACATTTAAAAACTATATATATGCTTAGTATGTATAAGTGTGTTAGCAATAGATAAAACAACAACGAGTACTACAGTAACAATAAAAATAACAGAAAATAACTACATGCTGAACTACATGAATAGTAGGTACATACATACATGCATTTTTGTGATACACTTGCAGCCAATTTAAAAACAAATAAAACTTGCTTGAAGTAGTTCTTTATGGATGAAACTTACTTAAAGTTATGGTTACGTTTAATAGTATAAAATATTTCCAAGTAATTTTATTTTTTATTAATGCGGCTGTTAAAGTTTTTACGGGGTGATTGGTAATTTCATGAATTACTTATTTTAAGTTCGTTAAAAATCAGTGGTTTACTTCCTTACTATTACTTTCTGGTTAGTATAATCAAATACTTTCATACCTTCTAAAAAAATTTACCAAAGAATATCTGAACAAGACAATTTGGAATTTTTTATTTTTTTTTTTTTTTGTCGAGCCTAGGGGTGCCATTTTACATGTTTCGGTGACACTTACATATAAATTCATAAATTTTTTTTCCTTATACTTTTTCTACGGCCGAGCTTAACTTCCAACGGCCTGTTAGAAAAAAACTTTTTCTATTTTAAATGTTACTCGGACCAGGGATCGAACCCAGGTCCTACGGAGTACTAGCGCTCAGAGCTTGTGTGAGCAAATCCAATTTTTGGCAAAAAAATGTCAGTTACGCGGTTTTATACTTTAAACGACAATATCGCACACCTAGACCTAAAGTGAGCTAACTAAAAATTCACAGAAGTATATTTAATAGCTTGTGGATCGCACAGATTCAACGCAATTAATGCAAAGCCGGGTATAACAGTAGTTTTTTAGTCAATGAATATAATTATAAAGAAAAAAATATTTCGATTACCGATTTTTTGCTGTGTGCTGTGCTGTTATACTCGTAAGTCGCAGGTCTTTGTTATATCATTATTTTATTCTTAAAAGTGGATTAAGAAATTACCAACCACCCTGTATTTTACGTCGTTTACCATAATAAAGAATACTCATATACCACATACTCTACTTTTATTCATCATATTTTATGTACTTTCATTTTCCATTTAAAATTACTATTGCATTTTTCGTTTCTGTCGAATATTTTTCGTTCGTTTTTGCCTAAAGCACGCTTCTACTCGCTACTACCCCGCCTTAGTGCTGTCGCCTATTGAATTTCTAAATTTTTTTTTTCATTTGCCTGGTGCTCATATTCGCTTTTGCTTTCTGCATTTTTCCATTTTCCGAAATCAGTAAATGAAATTTAAAAAAAAAAAAAACAAAGCAAAAATTAATGAAACTGTAACAAATATAGTTTATGAGTTATTTTTATTTGGTAGAAAAAAAAGAAAATATTAAGATTATAATTTCCTTTGAAAGGTACTATGAGCGAAAGTACTCTACCGAAACACAAACAATAATTTATGGTTAATATATTGTCTGCTTCAATTAGTAATTCGTACAAAAACAAAACAAAAAAAAACCAATTTGACTTAACGAAAAAATTCATAATTATTTATTTACTTTTCTTTTCGTTTCGTTTTTTTCAATCATCTTGCAGAAGATTGAATGGATTTACGCTAAATTACTATTAAAAAAAACTAACAAAATTACTAAAAGCAAAAACCAAAGTATCACAAAAACTTTATGTAAACAAACAAAAAACAAGAAACCGCAATGATTTGAAAAAAAACCAAACTCCCAAAAAAGAAAGCTAAAACTGCAAATCCAATAAAAAGAAACCCAAAAAAATATGTTTACTCGATATAATAAAAAATTTACATAAAAAAAAATACCAAAAGTCAAAACCTAACTAAAAATTTTGTGTGGTAAGTTTAGAATTGTTGATTTTACAAATTACAATTACAATTAACTACACAATTCCTATGCAATTATCATTACGCAATCTATCAAAATTATTTTATACAAAATTTACTTACATAAATACATACATACCGTTATAAAAACAATAATACCCTAAAATGTTTAGCTAAATTTTGATTGAAACAAAAAACAAAATACAAAAACTTAATGAAAATCATATATTCGTATTAGTTACTTCGATTTACATTTTTTTTTTGCTAATTAGTGCGTTCGTTATTTTTGTCTAATTGTTCGTTCGTTCGTTTATTGGAGTTCGATTTTAAATTAAATGTACGTTACTTATCTGCTTTTATTAGTCTATGTATGTACGTGTGCAGTTGTGGATGTGCGCAAGTGCATCGGTGTGTGTGTGTGTGCGTGTATGTTCCTCTATGAGCCTACGTTTCCTTAGTGCAATCCTTTAGTTTTCTTTGTTAACTGTATGCAAGTGTGTCCCTTTAATATTTAACCTTTAAATTTATTAGAGTTACTAGCAAATTAGATTTAATTGGTTGTTGCTCTTTATTTCTTATTTCTTATTTGCGCTTGGCATATCCTTTTTACAGTGCGCAACCTAAAACATGATCTAAATGTTAATATATTGCTCCTTTAAATGTACGCAAGAAATAATAAGATAATAAGAGATAATTTCTCTACATTTGAAATTTCAGTAGTACTACTTTTTTTCTTCTTATTTGTCACTACAGCCGTTTATCGGTTTGAGAGGAGACCAAAAAACTTCGCAATCGCCTCTCTCAGTTGCAAAGTTGTGGGAGTTGTTCATTCCGAGTGCAGACAGGTCCTTCTGCACGTTCTGTTCGTGAGCGCCCTTGCTTTTGTTGGCCTAGTTCACCACCATACCAGCCTCTTGTGCTTCCTTCTCTAAGCTGAAAAATGCTGGCTTGCTGCTTGAGCAAAGTACACTGCTTTTCCAAACTACGGCTATGTATTTACCAGAGCAAACTCGACTTAATGGCTGGTACAAGCGCCAAACCTGTTCTTCGCTGTCAGCTTTAAACCACTCAGTCGGTAAACCGTCGGCTCAAAGGGCCTTGTTGTTTTAAAGTCGGATTATTGCTGTTCTTGCCACATCTTTTTTCTTTGTTAAACGCGCCACGTGTGTCGCTAGACGTCTGTTACCAGATTTCCTTCTTGTTTTTGTAGGAACCAGCTCCATAACTGAAATCATTGGATTGCTGCCTTATTCTTTGATAGAAATTTCGAACCGTATTTCATTGCACAGCAGCGCATGCGTACCTTAGCTGCAAGAAAATGTTGCAAGATCCTTAATTTTTATTGGTATTTTCGCTAACAAAAATTTTGAAAAAGTAGCTTTACGATTTGATGTCCTAGCAAAAGTAAAATCTAAAAAAAAAAGAAAGAAAACAGCATTTTTCTTCTTCAAACGACGCCTTCTTCCCATAATATTTCCTTTATTCCATACCATAATACCGCCTAATATATTTTAAGTTACCGGTTTTCTTTGACCAAGAAAATCGGTGAACATTGCTGCAATTGCCTTCCCAAAAACTATCCCTCAAATTATTCCGCCACCTGAAACTTCCTTTTTTTCGGTGCGCTCGAGCCCACTTCATCTATTGTTTTGACGGTCTATCAACCAGAGACCCAGAATAATAATTATTTCATGGTGGAGTTTTAAAAAAGTCTTTTGATAATAATTATGTGTGAGGAAAATTTTTTAAGTCATCGATAACTATTATTTTAACACTTATATAATAAAAGTCTTTCATAATAATTATCAGCGAGATAAATATTTTTAATTCTTCAAAGACTTTTATTTTGAGACTTATATTATAAAAGTCTTCTCGTAATTTTTTTATGTCTTTTCATGATAATTATGAGTGCAAAAAATTGTTTGGCTTAAAGGAAAGGGGCTTGCTCAAACCATTTCGGGATTAGTTTGGGACCATTTCGCGGTTAGGTCGGGGCTAGTTGGAGAGTACTTTGGGACTAGATTGGAACTAGATTATATATGTATGTAGTCCCGAACTAGTCCGAAACTAAGCTCCAACTGGTCCCAAACTATTCCCCAAATAGTCCCGTATTGGTCCCCAACTAGCCCCGAGCTGATCTCCAAATAATCCCGAAATGGTCCTCAACAAGCCCCGTCTTCTAAGACTTAAACAATTTTTTCGCACTCGTAATTATTATGAAAAGACTTTTATAATATAAGTCTTAAAATAAAAGTCTTTGAAGACATAAAAATATTTATCTCCCTGATAATTATTTTATATATATTATTTTATAATAAAAGTCCTTGAATGATAATTATAGATGACTCACTCACTGGTTGACTTTTTTTCTTATAGAAGTTATGTCTCTGCCAGCAACGCGTATCAATTGATGCGGAAATTTATCCGAGTTATTTCCTAATATAGCCAAACTTGCTTCGAAATGTCCCTCTTTCTTAATTTTTGGTTCACTGTGGGCAAACTCGGCAGACACTTTGTTGCGGATAGCTCCTCCATTTGGATTTATTTGTGCAGCTCGAGTTTCGCACGTTGAAAACTATACATTCAGAGCAAATACGCCGGTAACTTTATTCATCGCAACTTTTTATTGCTTTCAGGTTTTTGTCTTTTTTATGAAGCTTCTGAGAATGAGGGAAATTTGCGAGGCGTTGAAATAGCACTAGATTGCGTATATCAATTACCTGGGCCCGAATCGCGGCAGTCGATATCGAACGGAACTCGTATCGAAATTTGATTTTAGGATCACAGTTTCGATAGAGAGTGCGCTTCGTCAATTTATATTGTATTGTATTCTGGAGAAAACAGCTATAATTTTATTTGATTCCAGTAATCCACTCGATACCGAATAACTTGACTAAGGCCTTGTTCTCGTAGTGAAGTTTTAGTTGTTTGTATAAAATGTATCGTCCAAATATCGAGCCCTTGTATAGAACACTGTTGCCGAATTTCTATTTCGACTGCCAGCTTCTTATGATTCACACAGCGCATTACAAAATTGAAATTAGCACTTCCAATCTTCCTTAAAAAAAAAAAAGCAATGTACATAAACGTGCAGTTACACGATCAAGAACACGCTTTCAAGTTGATCACACATACTGCTTGTCAAAATTGATGTCAGTTGACAGCAGTGACGTAAGCTGCTCGTAACTTGATAACCAATTAAAATATCGTCAACGAGGAAACTATGCTCGCCTCGTTTCCGTATGCTGCAGTACTGGAACACACTAACTGTTCCACACGACTTGAAAGTGAATATTGAGATCAAGTCGATGGTGAAGTTGTAAAAATGGCAGTGTGTTAGTAAAAAAGTGTAAGTGTATTGCAACTTGAAATGCAAATTCTTGATCGTGTAACGTCCAAGTAAGTAACATGCAATTTTAAAATATTTCCATACGAAATTCACTTTTTTTAGTTTTTCTTTCATACGGAATTCTTGTTTCTTTTTCATTTTTAGTTAACCAACTCACCACACAAAATACAAGAAAAAAACTTCTAAATGTTTTTTTATATATTTTCCCTATTATTCCTTTGAATTGCTATTCTCCTACTATGAGTGTAAGAATTAATAAAAAAAACAAAAACCAAAGTCAATTAAAATCCTGAAATTATAGTGAGGTGCAAAGCTGCTTTTTTCTATATGAATTTTTTTTTTTGCATTTAAATCTGTTTTCTTCCATACTTATGTATGTCTGTTTGTGAACTTCGTTGAAATGCTTTGAAACGTTGAATCTATTGAAAATATATGTATTAAGCATCAGAAGCACTATACTTTTTCTTTATTAAATTGAGTTCAAGTTTCTGTTCGAAATAAATGTATATTTGCTTGTTTTTTTTTCATAAAAATTGCTATTTTAACGCTTGACTTTAACTTTAGACGTTTGCGATGATTTAATTTTTTGCTTGCTTTTTGGCATTCATACATTTTTTTTTTATATGTAAAATCTATACAAGTAGACTATTATACATTTTATATTTAACAAATAAGTTATTTTACATGACCAAGCGTCTGGCAAGAAAGGAAGGAGGATTTCAACATTTAAGGTTTTCAAAAAACCCATTGCCATTAAAATATGCATAGGTACATATGTATGTAGGCAATCTAACCAAATTTCTTAACACGGACATTCACGATGAATATTCATAAACACGTGAATAGTATTCTTGTAAATCTTTGACTTTTTTTTTTAATATTAAAACTCGCACCATTATCTATTTATTTTCAAATTATTCAATTATTTTTATTTTTACATACACATACATATATGTATGCACCACTGATTATTTTATTTTTTTTTTGTGGTCTTGAAAAAAGATTATATTACAGTTACGGTGCGTATTCCGAAAAGAGTACAAGTCTGCAATGGTCTTTGCCTAGGCTATGCGCAAAATCCTTAGAAAATACTATGTAAACTTAATTTGAATTCGAAGGTAGGCGGCATGTTTTTTCTGTTCCATTCCAGCTTAAATAATTCAATTGGTGTGTGGTAAGATAAAGCATGTAAAAAAGTGCAATACTCTAAGGGTTTTTGGCTTCTGATACATAAATACGCATGTATGTATGTACACGCATATATAGGGTGTCTCAAATTGATGTGGTTTCTTTTTATTAAACAAAAAAAAAATAAGTCAAACTTTATTTTCCTTGTCGTTTATTTAAAAAG